TTGACGATGGCAATGTATGTGTGTTTGACGATGGCAATGTGTTGGGTTCTAGCTTTTTTTGCCTGGCTTTACTCAGCTTCGGCTTACAATGCATGTGTTTTGTTTTTTGGTTTCTGATGTTTGTTTGATCATTGAGAAAAATGGGAGAAAATGGAGGAAAATGGGAAAATGGATCATTTCATACTGTACTCCCCGATTTCAGTTCCGATTCTCGGTTCCCGAGGGGTGGAACTGGAACCAGAATCAGGGAGTCCCAATCCCAATTTTTTAGAACTAGAACTGACCTCATGAAGGTCAATTCCTATAGGAGCCGGAACCGAAACCCCAGGTACCCCTGGTTCTTTTACACATTCCTAGTAAGCAGTGTATGGTTGGCCAACAACACCAAACCTACTGATGACGAGTGGGTCAACACTATCGACATCATTGTAATCGCTAACCAACGATCTATGCGATGTCGTCAACAGTATCATCAAATGTATTATGAAATCATTGGCACCATTACATATATCACTAACCAGTAATTGCAACGATGTTGGTGGTGTGCTAGTGTCAACCCACTCACCACCGAAAGTTAGTGTATTTACGCCTTCATTGGAAATTATGCTATTGGTTGGATTGGTGGATAAGTATCATTTGGCCCAGTGTTTTAATAACAACCTCGAGGTGAAACCCACTAAAGTTGTCGGGTCCTAGGTTGACCAATTTAATCGGTTTGATCAGCCGATCAAACCAAGTGTCTAAAAGTTTAAAATTCAGTGGATACACTACTAAAAATTGTAAAGTCCCTACATGTTTGAAATCCAACAAAAACACCCTAAATGCAAATCGGGGGTCAACTGGTTGGCGGTGCGACACACCAAATGCAATCCCAATCATCCTTTAAGCCATTCCCCGAAAAACATGCCCAAGATCTGACTGAAATCGGTTCAATTTCGACAATATCTCACCACCGTCGCTTCAAAACCAAGCCAGATATCACCACCATTGGAGTCGGCAACCCTCCCCATCACCACAAAAATACTCCCCTCAACTTCCTAATGAAAACTCATCTCACTCCACCCCCGTTCGCCTCACCATTCCCCAGCAAATCACCTTTGTCGCCACCTTTCGATTCACCAGCCCTTCCTTTTCAAAAGCTCCAACATCCTAGCCACCAATTGTCCATTGATTATCGTCTTAATCTCTAGAGTTTTTCATGAACAATGAAAATTAAAAACCCGCCTAGTGAAGGCCCTAGGTCTCGGTTGAATCGATTCAACCGACTGGGTCAGGTTTTAAAACACTGATCTGGCCTACAAAAAAAGATCCTTCTAGATTGAGATTGGTGAATACCTAATGACTAAATACAATACAACCCTTTTCTTTCCAGGTATGTAAACAAAATAATCACATATAGTACACTATCAAAAGAGTAAAAAACATACACTAATAGCAATGGTAAAACCTAATCCAGGGCATTAATATTTTTCAAATTTCAGTCATGGGTTATCATTTTATCAATGTTTTAAAAACCAACCTAGGGCATAACTCGGCAAACTGGCCGAGTCCCGAGTTTACCGGTTGGACCGGTTCAACTGGTGACATTGTCCCAAAAAAAAATTCAAATTCCAGAATTCCAAATCACATATTACTTAAAAAATTCTTAACAAACAATCATCAAACATCAATACAATCCTTCCAAGTAATTACAAATCCTTAACAAAGCATCATCAAAGTTCAAACATCAATACAATCCTTAACAAAAACTACAGCTGGCCACGCAACGGCTCACAAGGAAGATCTCAACAGCAGCCAAGAAGAAAAAAACACACCCCAACCTGCAGCAGCAGCATCCTACACTCCTGCCCAACCACACACCAACCAGGACCAAGAAAAAGGAAAAAAAAACACAAGGAACTGAAGGAAGGACCCAAACAAGCACCACTTCACCCCACTCTCAACCCAACTCCAACATTTTCAATAAAGAGAAAGTGAAGCTGGAAAACGTCCCCACACATTCAAATAAACTGGAAAAAGAAACCTAAGAATAGAAAATGATAGCCACATAAACCAAATCTGTCACTTTCGTGACCTAGTCTTAAGGCTTTTTTTTCACCCACAAGACTTCAATTTTCAAGGTCTCTCTACTGCCATTCTTCACATTCTCTCTCTACTGCCCTTCTTCTTCCTCAACACATTGACCCATAAATTNTTTTTTTTTTTTTTTTTTTTTCATTTGACGATGGCAATGTATGTGTGTTTGACGATGGCAATGTGTTGGGTTCTAGCTTTTTTTGCCTGGCTTTACTCAGCTTCGGCTTACAATGCATGTGTTTTGTTTTTTGGTTTCTGATGTTTGTTTGATCATTGAGAAAAATGGGAGAAAATGGAGGAAAATGGGAAAATGGATCATTTCATACTGTACTCCCCGATTTCAGTTCCGATTCTCGGTTCCCGAGGGGTGGAACTGGAACCAGAATCAGGGAGTCCCAATCCCAATTTTTTAGAACTAGAACTGACCTCATGAAGGTCAATTCCTATAGGAGCCGGAACCGAAACCCCAGGTACCCCTGGTTCTTTTACACATTCCTAGTAAGCAGTGTATGGTTGGCCAACAACACCAAACCTACTGATGACGAGTGGGTCAACACTATCGACATCATTGTAATCGCTAACCAACGATCTATGCGATGTCGTCAACAGTATCATCAAATGTATTATGAAATCATTGGCACCATTACATATATCACTAACCAGTAATTGCAACGATGTTGGTGGTGTGCTAGTGTCAACCCACTCACCACCGAAAGTTAGTGTATTTACGCCTTCATTGGAAATTATGCTATTGGTTGGACTGGTGGATAAGTATCATTTGGCCCAGTGTTTTAATAACAACCTCGAGGTGAAACCCACTAAAGTTGTCGGGTCCTAGGTTGACCAATTTAATCGGATTGATCAGCCGATCAAACCAAGTGTCTAAAAGTTTAAAATTCAGTAGATACACCACTAAAAATTGTAAAGTCCCTACAAGTTTGAAATCCAACAAAAAGACCCTAAATGCAAATCAGCGGTCAACTGGTTGACGGCGCGACACACCAAATGCAATCCCAATCATCCTTTAAGCCATTCCCCAAAAAACATGCCTAAGATCTGACTGAAATCGGTTCAATTTCGACAATATCTCACCACCGTCGCTTCAAAAACCTAAGCTAGATATCACCACCATTGGCGTTGGCAATCCTCCCCATCACCACAAAAATACTCCCCTCAACTTCCTAATGAAAACCCATCTCACTCCACCCCCGTTCGCCTCACCATTCCCCAGCAAATCACCTTCGTCGCCACCTTTCGATTCACCAGTCCTTCTTCTTCAAAAGCCGCAACATCCTAGCCACCAATTGTTCATCGATCATCATCTTAATCTCTAGAGTTTTCCATGAACAGTGAAAATTAAAAACCCGCCTAGTGAAGGCCTTAGGTCTCGATTGAATCGATTCAACCGACTGGGTCAGGTTTTAAAACACTAATCTAGCCTACAAAAAAAGATCCTTCTAGATTGAGATTGGTGTATAGCTAATGACTAAATACAATACAACCCTTTTCTTTCCAGGTATGCAAACAAAATAATCACATATAGTACACTATCAAAAGAGTAAAAAACATATACTAATAGCAATGGTAAAACCTAATCCAGGGCATTAATATTTTTCAAATTTCAGTCATGGGTTATCATTTTATCAATGTTTTAAAACCAACCTGGGGCACAACTCGGCAAACTGGCCAGGTCCCGGGTTTACCGGTTCAACCGGTGACGTCGTCCCAAAAAAAAATTCAAATTCCAGAATTCCAAATCACATATTACTTAAAAAATTCTTAACAAACTATCATCAAACATCAATACAATCCTTACAAGTAATTACAAATCCTTAACAAAGCATCATCAAAGTTCAAACATCAATACAATCCTTAACAAAAACTACAGCTGGCCACGCAGCAGCTCACAAGGAGGATCCCAACAGTAGCCAAGAAGAAAAAAACACACCCCAACCTGCAACAGCAGCATCCTACACTCCTGCCCAACCACACACCAACCAGGACCAAGATAAAGGAAAAAAAAACACAAGGAACTGAAGGAAGGACCCAGACAAGCACCACTTCACCCCACTCTCAACCCAGCTCCAACATTTTCAATAAAGAGAAAGTGAAGCTGGAAAACGTCCCCACACATTCAAATAAACTGGAAAAAGAAACCTAAGAATAGAAAATGATAGCCACATAAACCAAATCTGTCACTTTCGTGACCTAGTCTTAAGGCTATTTTTTCACCCACAAGACTTCAATTTTCAAGGTCTCTTTACTGCCCTTCTTCTTCCTCAAAACATTGACCCATAAATTGGAAATGAGAGATGAAACACAGAACTTAAAGAGAGATGAAAGAGGAAGAGATCGACTTTGACGATACCTGACGAAGATGTCTAGAGCTAACGATGAAGAGGAGATGATCAACGCAATTAGAGTCACCGGTGGAAGATTTGAAGGAAATCAAAAAATGGGTGCGAAGGAAATCGCAAAAATGGGTAGAATGGGTTAAGGAAAAAAGGATTATTTTTTTTTTTTTTTTTTTTTTATGTTGATGGAAAGACAGATATGAGAAAAGTCAGTTTAAGCCATGATGAAGATGAAACTAAGTTGTCGACTGCCACTGATGAAGATGAAAGCAAGATGTCGACCAAGAAATTGACATGAAATCACAAGTGAGAGATAGAGAGAGTGGAATTCGATCGATGGAAAGAGGAAAAAAGGGTAAAAAATTGGTTTAGGGTATTAAAGGGGGGGTTTAATGTTTCACCCGGTTTATCCTAAAAACCGATTAGACTGGCAGGTTGCTACAGTAAATCCGGTCCAACCTTGGGTGAACAACTTCTTCGGTTTTTTGCCTAGCCCAGCCTGACACAGTAGTAGGGTCCCGGTCAAACCGGTTAAACCGGTCGGACCGAGCTGAGTTTTAAAACAATGCATTTTATCAAATATTTCATTTATTCTCTTGAGAAGCTCCTGTTCGCCACATTTGCTTTACTGACAGAACCAACAAAATAATACTGTGAACAAATACAAGGCAATCAGTAAAATAACATTGTGGCAAAAATTTGCACCTCCTCATAGCATGAGGACAGGTTGTTACTCAGCTAAAAGTTACCAATTTGTAATCGGCTACATCTTGTGTTGAGCTCAAATTGACACGAGGATTTGGTATAATGGGCTAACAAATATTTTTCCAACTGATTATTCCCTCTTATCCTCTTCCTTGTCATCTTCATCGAAAACATCAGCATTTCCAATATCGTTCTCTTTCTTTTCCTGCTTGACTAAATTAAGATCACCCTCCGACTTGCCCCTTGTTAAAGATTGAGTTTCTTCATCAAATTCTTCTCCAACTTCTTCCGAGTAAGCATACCTGATATAGTTTAAAATTGAACATAAAAATGTAATGGGAGGATATTGTTGATTTTAATGACACTAAAATCTAGTAAGAGTTTGAATGTGAGCAGGATAGATCAGCATAAATTTGACAAAATCCCAATTTCAAAAAGGTAATGTAAGCAAGGTTTTGAAGAGCAAAATTCCAAGTACTTCTATTTAGACCTTTTCACTCTTTTACAAGAACCTTCCATAGATTAAATTCCGATGAGTACAACATACCTTTGGGAGTTCTGAGATGGGGCCCAGAGATAGCAAATAACACACAGCAATACAAAAGCAATTACATCCCAGAACGCAGTGATTATCCAGGCACTTTGCCACCGTTCATTGAAAGGATCTGTAGCCTTGAAGTATACCTATACAAGCAAACATATTATATCCATAATAATTTCAGATAATCTGAACCAGTTAATGTAGAAAAGAATTTATCGAAGGAATTAGATGGAAACTCTTCCTATTGAATCAGACTCCACACAACCACACAAAGGAACAGTGCACAATATAAAGATAAGACAGAATTTAATGGAACCAAAATGGTATATTTCATATATGAATTCAGAATAACAATGGAATAGCAGTAAACCGAGACAAAATAAAGCATAGGATATGGATAACACTTCGAGGAGCTAGGGACCTCCCAACCAATTTCCAGAATTCACTCAATACCCACACTCTCTCATTCTTTAGTTATATACATTTCATCTCAGCTAGACAGGAGTATATTCCTCTAACTACCTCCCTAACCAATCCCTTTACACTCTTTACACCCTGCCCATAACGCTTTTACACCCCCTGCCCTTCAGTTTATTTCCCCCTTTATACTTATAACTTTGTGAATGGGAGGTCTATCAGAATTTAAAAAAACTGCCCAAAAGAAAGAATGACAAACAAAAGGATTGCCCATGGAGGCATAACACTTCTAAATTTAAAGAATCCAAGCTCTAAGGCCATGTCAAAAAAGATTATTCTTTAAAACAATATAAATATCTTAGGCTTTTATTCTGCTCAGAAAAGGAAACTTTCGTAAATTAAAGTTAGTCTATTAATTACTGACAACATGTAAAAGCAACATTGAATTTCTGAAATCCACTGTCCCAAATATCTCCAATATTCAGAATTGGCTTTAATTCATAAAAGCTTTGGTTGTCAATAAAACAATAAAGGGGGTCAGGAGCAGGTATACCAGAAAAAATTTAAGAAAATAGTAACAGAATGAATAGTGAAAGAATTCTCTCAGAATGAACAAGATATTCTTTTTTTTTTTTTTTTTTAATTTATTTTATTTGGAGATAATATTGAGCCAGTCTTGCTATGGTTAACTGGTGTGAATCTCAATTCCCATTGAAATTGCCATGTCAATGTGAAAATACAAGGTTATCGCTAATTTGCCAGGAGCTGTTGTCCTTGAACAGAAAAGTCATAAAATAATAATTTGAATCCAGAATGAAGTTCTAATAAAAGAAAGAAAAAGAAAATCAGTTTATCTTTTGCTGCTGCATGAAACAGAACCATCCTCCAAATCATTTTTCCTTTCACTTTTCATTTTTTGTCTTTTCCTTCTACATCATAATCAATTCCTCATATAGTAAAACAGGATCATCAATCACTGTGCATCACTTATTATTGGCACAAAATGACATAAATCCTCTACCAGAAATCATACCTCATAAGATATCCAAACAACTGAAGCAATTACTGTCACGGCCAATGCATTTGAGAACTTCCTATATATATCCAACTTAATAGAACTCCTTTTTGACTGGATTGAAGAAAACAGAAAAAAATTAAAAAAATATAATGAGAAGAAGAAGAAGAAGAGGAAGAACCAAATAACATCAGAAAGTTACTCTATATGAAGCAAAACAGTGAATGTGAAAACATGAAACAACTAGATAAGGAGTAATGACAACCAAATTCACAGAGATTAAATGTTAAAGAGTAGAAACGAAGCATCAACGAAAAGGTGATACCTGTAGTTGCTCCAGTGTTTTTGAAAGTGCAGTAAAGGTCCACAATATCAAAAAGGCATCCAAGAATGCATCTGGAAGGACTAGAAAGAGTCTTGCTCTTCCTGATACGTCACTAATGGTTCCTACATACTCAGTAATATCCAGCAATTCTGATGCCAAGAAGTATGTTACTCCAAGAAGAAGAACCTTTGAAGTAAGTCCACCAAGAGTGGGCCGCACAACACCATAACCCATTGAAACACAGAGTATCAGAAGGCGAGAAAGTGTTTTTCTTATAGCTCCAATTGTCACAACCCAAGTTGTAACCACAACTAGCCTCATGCCGGTGTTGTTGAAATTCGCATACTCAAAATACCAAAGAATCATTTCAAAAAGCCCCAGAGTTATAACAGCTGTGATGCAATGCTGAAGTTGCAGTATGTCCTTCCAAAACCTCAGATATTGTATGAACCAAAATACACTAAGAACCACATAAGCAAGAGACATATACACATAAAAATTCATTAATGGGGCCATCCTACCAGGTAAATAACCATCGGGATTCTTCCACAATGTTTTTCCACTCATTACTAATCCCTTGAGTTTCGGGTCACATGCTATGAAGAATAAATTATACATTCCAGTCTTTGTGATAGGAACATCCACATTATCCATGTTTGCATACAAATAGTTCCCATTAAACTGTACATTTAAAACAATAGGCCAACTAATATCTGTGGCAGGTGGCATCCTTATAACTTCACTCTTTTTGCAGCCTTCCAGCTTTGCAAGATCAGAGGTGCAACATATAGACCTTTGTCCACCATAGGCAGAACCACCTATATTATTTCGATCTGCTGCCTCAAAAATTACAACTTGTACCAGCCCAGTACTGTTCTCCATGTCTCTATGCCCATCAGCTGCAGCCTTAGTCCTCCAGAAAGTGATATTCTCAAATCTATTCCAATTATACATAGAAAATATCCAATTATAGATAGAAAAGAAGGAATTTCAGAATGAGGGAAGGATGAAGGTATTTGATGTTCATATGATAATACAATCAAAGAATGCATTAATATCAAATTTATTATAGGTATTCTCACCGAACTTTGAACCAATAGGTTGAAAATACATATGGTCTGTTCAATATTGTTCTCGTTTTCATTCTTTCCGTTTTTCATTATCGGTTTTATCTTGGAAAAAGAGTAAAATATATTCACCTAACATTTCCATCACTCAAAACAAAAAACATAAAAACAAAGAATTCAATGTATAACCAAAAAGTTGAAAACACACAAAGCATGAAAATCAAGTTTCTATGTTTTAATTCTCTACATAATAACAAATTACAATTTTCATTTTCAGAAAATGATAATTAAGGCATTTGCTAATTTTGAGTATATAAAATCAAACTTATTAAATTCGTTTTCAAACTCATTTTTTTAAAAACAAAAACATCAAATAAAATCCTGAGTAACACCTTAGGTGGCGTTCATCTATATTTTTGACATTTTTGCTTTTAAAAACAAAATCGAGAATCAAAATAATAAGTTGATTTTGTATTTTCAAATTTTGAAAATGCGATCAGTATTATTTTCTAAAAGTAGTATTTGAAAATGAAAATAGTGAAAATATGTTTGTTATTGTTTTCTTACAATAAATATGAAACATTGTGGTATGGCAGAGAATGAAAACATAGAAAACAACTTTTTTATGTTTAGTGTGTTTTCAATTTTTTAGTTATTTTTGAGAAAAATGAAATGATAAGTGAACAAGTGTTACACATGTTATGAGATAAAATAGACAATGAAAGCAAAAATGAACAAGCTCCTAGTTTCTCTCACATGTGTTACACATGTTATGAGATAAAATAGACAATGAAAGCAAAAATGAACAAGCTCCTAGTTTCTCTCACATGCATTTCTTAGTATATAAGTGGATAAAATTTTCAATATCTGAACCTAAAGAAAACTAAAGAACCTGTCAAGTAACTTCACTTGAGACAGAAGATTCTTCAAATGAAAGCAAACCCATGAGATAAGTTATCAAATACACAGCAAACTACAAATAGATTAGGCACTATCTATTTTAAAAGAATTACTTTTAAACTAACCCAATATTCGGAAACGTTAGGTCTGCAAAATCATATCTGATGCCTCAATATTACCTAACAGCAGCCAACTTCTCAACTAATGCCCGGCAGAAAACACTAGCTTGCACAGCTTGAATTGAAATTTTCAGATCAAACATCGATAATCACTTTGGGTTCATATCTAAATTATATTTCATCCTTTACATACAAATTTAAACTACACACCCAGATTATAAATCAATTTTTCAATCTTAATTAGCTAAACATAATAATACGTTAAATTTTATTTCATTTTTCTTCAGTTAAGAACCAATGGCATCAGTTTCCAATTCATATGTCACAAAAACCGAACTTTCAAGATTCAATTCAAAGAATCCCACATTCTTAATTTACACAAAATGCCATTAAATTCACACGATATGCCACGTCAGATCCGATTCTAGTTTTATGAGTGCATCAAACCATTCAAACAGCATTGATCTGACAGTCCACAGATTGTATGAAAATCGTTTAAAAGAAAGAGGTCCGTACCGAATAAAAGAGCGGCCGTCGTGGAGAAAAGAAGAGACGGAGGCGTCTTCGACGGCGATAAGAGATGCCGCGAGGCCTTCGCTACCGCCGGCAAGAAGAAATGCGTTGCCGACTTCTCGGAAGGGTTCAGTGGTGTAGATGTGGATGGAGGCATAGGCGGGATTTGAAGTAAGGAAGAGGGAGAGAATGGCGACGAAAGGTAGAGTTGGAAAGGGGGAAGCCATTGAGTTGAAACAAAAATTGGAGAGAGAGAAAGAGTGGCGGATTTGAAGCAAGGATTTGTTGGGATGTCAAGACTCAAGTGTCGGCGAGTGAGTAGTGGGAGTGACGAGAGTGAGGGAGAAGAAAGGGGTGAGATTCACGCGCACAGAGAGCATGTGAGGATTATGAATGATGTGGCAAGATAGATTGTAGATTCGGTAAACTTTCTCTTTGGAAATTTGTTTCATCGGTTGGTTTTATTTATTGATTCAAATAGAGTATTTTTAAAATTATTAACGCTTTTAAAGTTAATTTATAAGATTTTAAATAAGTTATTTTAATTAACTCTAATCTTGTTTAAGACAACAAAAGTATGAGTTTAAGCCATTTATGTGCTTTAGAGTATCCAAAATTAGCAATTATGTCCAAAGATATGACATTACACAAAAAAATAAAAATATCTCTACCTTCAATTTTGGCCATTAAAACTAACAAAATACTTTTGACTAAAAAATTGAATAAAATATTTTAGAATGAGAAAACAAAATTTATTAATCATTGTCAATATGATTTTAGATCATGTCAATTATATTAAATTAATAGAATAGTGAAAATGGAGCAAATAACATAATTTTGTTACAATTTTAGTGGTGCTATTTAGTAATAACTCAAGAAAGGTGAAGATAAATAAAGTAAATAAAAAGGAGCCAAAATGAGAAAATTGAGAGATGTGATTGTTCTTCAAAATTTTTTGGATGCATAAATGAAAGGGATGGGGGATATTTATGGCCATCACACCCTCACACTCTCACCGTCTCAAGTTTACCTCCACCACTAGGTAAATGGTGGAGGTTCAATATTTACAATACTTCCCCTTAGACATCCACCATTTACAAATAATTGTATTTAACTCTACTCAAGAAAATCCAATGGGAAAAAACCTAAGTAAAGAAATATAACTCTACAATGAAACTATGACGTGAAGTTTGACGTGCTTCATACTACCTTATTAGATTTGTCAAGAAAACCTAGTCACGGAAAAAATAGTACAATGCACATATGTCCAATACAATAAACCTTTCTAAAAATTCCCCCTAATCGATGCTTCTCTTGATCAATGCTTTTCCTCATAATGGTATGATTAATTTAATAACTTATTGAGCTACTGCAATTGGATGATATACACTAACTTTTCAAATGTTGATGTCGATAAGGCCTTAGTGAATAAATCTACAAGATTATCACTGAAGCGTATTCGTTTGACATCAATCTCTCGATTTTGCTGGAGTTCGTGAGTGTAAAAGAACTTCAGTGAAATATGCTTGGTTTTGTCTCCTTTGATATATTCTCCCCTGATTTGGGCAATACATGCTGCATTGTAACGCCCCACTTGAGGTACGTACTTGAGATTTGCTATATTACTTAAAGGTTCACTGTTTTAGTTTCAATTGAGTTTGTATGTTGTTATGGTTGGTTGGTTGGCCTTTATTTTACATGGTATGTTGAATTGGTTGAGTGTTTGCCTTGAAATTGGTTGAGACTTGAGGAATTTTGGAAGAACAGTCTTCGCCACGGCGACTTTGGCTTTGTAATGGCGGTGTTGGTTCTGTAAGTTTTCGCCAGGACGACGGAATTTCTTCGCTGCGGCGACGGGACGGCAGAAAAGTTTATTGAGTTTTCTAGAGAATTCTTCATAGGGGTGAAAATGACCTTTCTACCCCTAATTAGCAGGAAAAGTGAGGAGTAAAATGTAAGGAAATTTAGTAGAGAATGTGTTGGTAATGGGGGTGTATTTGCAAAGAATCCAAGGATATAGATGAAATTTTCAAGGAAGAGCAAGGGCAAAATGGGAAATGATGATTATAATATGAGCTAAAAAGGGTTAAGTGTAGAGAACCCTTCATATCACCCATTTCCACAGCCATACCCATTCTCTCATTTCTCTCAATTCTCCATTCAATTTTCCAAGATTTCTAAGGAGTTTTAGGGAGCTTTTGGGAAATTTTTAGTAGAGATTTCATCTAAAGCATCCTAAGGTAAGGATTCTTGCTTTAGATATAGATTTGCTTGTTCTTGTATCTTGAAGTCTTATGGTTTTATGGTTTAAAGGTGTAGAGAAGGGACAAGGTACTAAGGAAGAGTAGTAGTGGAATCTCTCCATTAAAAGTAAGTAAATCCTAACTAAGTTGAATTTGAGAATTTAATTGAGTAAAGATTGTGTATGTATATGTATGTTTTATATTTGTTGGGATGAGATGAGATGAGATTAGTAGTTATGTATGATTATTGAATATGTTTGGATATGAGAAGTGTTGAACTTCTATGATGTGGAGTTGGGTTGATAGGAGATGGAGAGAGTTTTGAGCAACACTTATGGAAGTTTGTTTATTTGACAGGAATCTAGAGACTAGGAGGGAGTTTTCTCCCATTGTTTGGATGATTAAAGAAAGGAGAATGATTATAGTTAGAGTAGAGTTTTATATGCACATGAGTTGTATGATGAAATGCCTAAGAGAAGTATGAGAATGAATTATGAACCCTAATTCTTGCAACATTGCATATTGGCATTTCCTTAGTGCATTAATGAGCATGAATCATTCTTATGCATTAGAGAAAGAGTAGGAAAAGAGTATAGAACTCTATGAATAGACTAATCTAAGAATTAAGCTACACTATGAGTAGTAGGTTGAGAAAGAGATGAGTATTAGCTTGATAAAGAGGATAGAGTAGGTTGTGCGATGGGGAACCCGTGAGTAATGGGTAGAGTATTCCCGCATGTACGCCGCATTGAGAGAGCGGTACGAGTATGAGAAAGAAAAGTGGTGTAGCCCGTAAGAGTGCATGCGGATGAGGGCTATACCCGAGAGTACCCGAGAGAGAGATTATACACTCACATGGCCAAGGGTTCCGAATCCATGCATAACCGAGTTCGATCGGCTGAGGATGAGTAGAAGTCACGGAGAGTAGGAGTGAGCCCCGGTCGTGCCCCCTGTAAGATAGGGTCGTGACTTACTAAAGAGAGTTAATAGAAAAGAGTTCTAAGGAAAGATAAACAGAGAGAAACACAAAAGAGAAAGTGAATGAGAAGTTGTAAGGAAAGAAATTAGAGAGAGAGTTACGGGGTTAGAAGAGTAAAGGATTTACTTACTGAGCATTGTTTTAGTGCTCACCTCGTTGTTTTCCTATGTTTTGTAGGATCTAGGTGAGGACATGGTTGGATGGACGTCGGCACGCGAGGGGAAGCGGTTACACTGTCCACCATGTTTTTGATAACTTTTGTACATGATATAATTTTGTGTAAAAAAATATATATGTTTAATAAAAAGAAAATTTTGGGCCCAATTCTTTATACTATTTTATATGCATGTTATTATGTATATTATATGAGTATTTAGGTAGAAAGTGGCTATTACATTTTTGGTATCAGAGCCAAGATTTTGGGATTTGACAATGTTCCATTCTCATCGCCACAACGTCCGATAGCCGACTGTGTAAGTTAATTCTTTCCTTACTTTAAGTGTTCTCTTGAATTTATCAAGTATGGTTGTTTTGTAGATGAGGCGTAGTAATAGGAGGAAGGGTAAGGGTGTGATGAATGAGGGAGAATCCTCTGACCCACTAGAACCAACTCCCCCTACCCTTGATGAGACGAGGATTCGAACTATTGTACAGCAGGTTTTAGCGGAGAGTCAGGGGAGAGTTGTTCAGGAGAGAACCGAGACCCCCAGTAGAGTACCGCCCACAAGACAAGAGCGAGAAGGGCCGGTACCTCAAACAATACAGACTCGGGCAGATCCGATTCAAGGGCTTGTAAATCAGCACTAGCCACCAGCATTTAAGGGTATGAGGGACCCGCTAGAGGCAGAGGAGTGGTTTAAGTCCATAGAGCGGATGGCAGCACTGTTTCCCCTGAATGATAGAGAGAGGATCAGATATGCTAGTTTCTTATTTAAGAGAGATGCCCGAATTTGGTGGGAATTAATGAAGGAGACTCATGATGTAGCCTTGATGACCTGGGAGGAATTCAGAAGATTGTTTGAGGCCAAGTACCGAACAGAAGATCGAATACATGAGAAAGTCCAAGAGTTTATTAATTTGAAGCAGGGGACTAGTACCGTGAAAGAATATTCAGTAAGATTCAATTCCCTTGCTTGCTTTGCACTTGGAATAGTGTACACACCAGAGTTAAGGAGAGACAAGTTTGTGCAAGGGTTGAGATCAGATATTGCTCGAGATTTAATGACAGAAGCCGAGCCCCCTCATACCTACAGTGAAGCTCTAGCATAGGCTTTAAGGGCAGAGATCTATGTAAACAAATACCTTGCAGAAGGGTTGGCTCTAACAGTAACTAGTGAGCCATCCACCACCTTACAGAGGGAGAGAGTCGATGTCACAAAGAACAGAGAAGTAAGGGCCAAGAAGAAGTTCCAACCAAGGAAGAATAGAAGAGATTGGCAGAACAAGCGGCCCAGGACAGAAGGATCTCCCCCCTTGTGCTAAATGCGGGAGGAACCATTCAGGAGAGTGTTTGAGGGATCGAAACGTGTGTTACAGGTGCCGACAGTCAGGGCATATGTGGAGGGATTGTAAAGCTCCCCTCCCACCGATGGCTCAGACCCATAGAGGTACAAATGCCAGGGTATTTATAGTGACATGGGGTGAGGCCGAGGCCAGTCTATCAGCCGTAATTGGTCAGTTGTTATTTCATGTTGTTTCAGTAATATCTACACCGATCATAAGAGTTTAAAGTACTTCTTCACTCAAAAGGAGTTGAATATGAGACAGAGAAGGTGGTTACAGCTGGTTAAGGATTACGAGTGTGAGATTAAGTATCAATCGGGGAAAGCCAACGTAGTAGCCGATGCCTTGAGTAGAAAAGCTTATTTGTCTCGACTCACTAGGCAGAAAGAGTTGATAGAAGAGTTAAACAAAGAGCAGATTGAATTGATCCCGGGAAGGATTGCCAGGTTAGAGGTTCGGTCTACTTTATTGGAGGAAGTCAGAGATAAGCAAGTGGCTGATGAGTGGTGTTAGAGAATAGTTCAGCAAGTGCATGAGGGTAAGGTAATGGAGTTCCACTTAGTGGATGGTGTCCTCTACTTTCGGAATCG